TTGCACAAAAGTCAATTCCAAATGGCTCAAAGACCTCAATGTAAAGCCTGAAACTCTGAAACTGTTAGAACAAAACATTGGGAAAAACCTACAAGATATAGTTGTAGGAAAGGATTTTCTAAACCAAACATCAATTGCTCAGGAAACAAGGGCAAGAATTACCAAATGGGACCTCATTAAACTAAAACGCTTCTGTACATCAAAAGAAGCAACCAGGGAAGCGAAGAGAAAACCCACAGAATGGGAGAAAATCTTCAGCAACACATCTGACAGAGGTTTAACATTCAGAATATATAATAAACTCAAAAAACAAAGAATCAAGAAAGGAAGTAACCCAATTAAAAGATGCGCTAAGGAGCTGAACAGAGAGTTCTCAAAAAAAGAACTAAAGATGGCTATGAAACATCTTTAAAGATGTTTAACATCACTAATAATTGGGGAATGCAAATTAAAATCACTTTAAGTTTTCATCTTACCCCAGTCAGATGGGCTAAGATCAAGAGAACAAATGATACCAAATGTTGGAGAGGATGTGGGGAAAGAGGAGCATTCATATACTGCTGGTGGGGCTGCAAACTGGTTCAACCCCTATGGAAAGAAGTATGGAGAACTCTTGAAAAACTAAAACAAACCTACCATACAACCTGGTAATACCACTCCTTGGCATATACCCAAAGAACTCATCCTATTGCAGAGACACTTGTACATCCATGTTTGTTGCTGCTCTTTTCACAATAGCTAAGAAAAACCTAAGTGTCCCTCAACTGATGAGTGGATATTGAAAATGTCGTTCATTTATACATTTTACTCAGCAGTAAAGAAAGATGAAATCATGAAATTTGCAGGGAAATGGACAGAACTAGCAACACAGACTCACAAAAGAAAATTGACATATATTCTCCCTCATATGTGGATCCTAGAACCAGACTCTGATTAATGAGTATATATCCAGAAAAAACTACAGGAATCAGGATAATGGAAAGGAACCAGGGAGGTAAAGGAAAAGAAAGAACCTGAAAGAGAAGAACAGTAGGAAACATGCCTTAATAAGGGAGATATGGATAAAAATTCATTTAGTTTAAGAGAGAGGGGAGGGAAGGGTATACAAGGAACCTAGGGGATAAAGGGAAAGAATCCTACAACCTACTGACAAATTATACATAGCAGATCAAGAAATGTATGTCTAGGTAAGGTTTATCTGAGAACTGGCCTTTGCCCAAAATTTATCTACATGACACACAGTAATTAAAAATACCAAACTGGTGGAACGAGCTTTCTTGGGTGTTTAACAGACATATTTTGAGGCCTATAATAATTTG